CAAGGCCAGTTACTATTCAACCCGCATGATAAGTAACTCGACCGATTTGTCAACCAGTAGCTGACCCTCAAGTCCTGTCAACACAGACATTAATTTGCAATCATGCAAACCAAGCAAAATATTCTATTTAAAAACGAGGAAAAAAAGGCTTCTAATTAATATTTTTTTCTGTATCTTAAGATTTCCATAAAGTGTTATTGCTTGTTTAGTTTGTTGTTGCTTGTTTACCACGTCTTTATGAAAGAGTACATGTACGTTAATTAGATCGTATAAACTAATTAAGCAGATTATCAACTTGTTTTTATAAATAACAATTGCATATTATATTATGTAATATTCCGTAATTATTTGTTTAATACAAATCAGAATATTTAATAAAAGAATAAAACGGAAGGCGAATACAAATGAAAATGTGAGATTTTTCGGAATAGTAATTTTCGGACCCTGTAAGCGCGCGGATGCTCGTATATGTCGCGGATGCGGGACGCGAAAAAGCTCACGGATCATGTCATTTGCAAAGGCTTTGTAGCCTTGTGTTCTACGAGCTGGCAAATCTCGGCGCAGCTTTGACGCTGCAATCCGGCTGAAAAGCGCCACGGTGCAGGGCGTTTCCACGCACGCGGAATTCACGGCAGTGAAAACACGTAAAAATGCCGGCCGCGCGTCATGATGGAGAAATGCGAATGAAAAACAGCGGCGTAACTGCAGTTGCGAGAGAGAGTTTAATTTCAAGCCGTTTTTTATTCTAACGGAATTTTCATTTGGGAAATTACTCACAAAGGCATTTTTAATTTTACATGTAGCACAAAAAAATTCATTAAAATTAAGAAATTTATAAGTACATCGTCAACTTAATCACATCATTTTATACATCTTATTCTTTCTTTAATTTTTCTGTTGTAATTTTTGTTATGTTTTTTTTTAATTATATATCCTAAATAACGGTCTATCCAACGGTTTATTGCAACGGTTCTTCTGAAGAATAAGCAAAGGCCGAAAGAATGACGCATTGTGAACAAACACATTCGTTATTTTCGATTTTGTAATAGTCTGGTCGACCGAATCGACAAATCTGACGGATTCAGCGACGCCCGTACCAGCGGCCGTTCTATAATTCTTTTTATCCACCAGCCATTGTCCTTTATCCAGCGGCAAAAATCTCTATGTCCACGTTGAAAAAGGGAGTTGTCGCGCGCGTCCGGAATTCTCCGTTTTTACGGACGGACAGGAAATATCCTTCGGGAGAGACGTGAACACAACGTGCCGTTTCGTGCAAACGAAGGTACGCGATAATAAGCACGACCTTTTTCATACAGACGGGACCATGGTATTTTCAAGTAAAAAGCGCTGATTCTGGATTTACGGAAAATGTTAGTACCGAGATGATTATTAAAACTATTTTTAGATATCCATTATATATATAACATGCAGACTGAAAAACCATCAGAAAACCAGTTGCTTTAGCAAGCTCTTAATACCATGTTAACTCAGTATAAACTAGATCAGTATAAGCTAGATTATCTACTACTGTCAGCGTAAGAGATTAAAATAAATAACTTTGTTCGATACCCGGCCGAGGTAATATTTTTCGCAATAAGTTTTTTACAGATTTTTAAATGATTTAAGTTTGGAGGAATTATTAATATTTTAAACTGAAAGCCCGAAAATAATAAGCGCAGTCATATTTCTGAGACAAATTCATTTAAATAATACATATATATATATATATATATATATGTATTATTTAAATGAATTTGTCTCAGAAATATGACTGCGCTTATTATTTTCGGGCTTTCAGTTTAAAATATTAATAATTCCTCCAAACTTAAATCATTTAAAAATCTGTAAAAAACTTATTGCGAAAAATATTACCTCGGCCGGGTATCGAACAAAGTTATTTATTTTAATCTCTTACGCTGACAGTAGTAGATAATCTAGCTTATACTGATCTAGTTTATACTGAGTTAACATGGTATTAAGAGCTTGCTAAAGCAACTGGTTTTCTGATGGTTTTTCAGTCTGCATGTTATATATATAATGGATATCTAAAAATAGTTTTAATAATCATCTCGGTACTAACATTTTCCGTAAATCCAGAATCAGCGCTTTTTACTTGAAAATACCATGGTCCCGTCTGTATGAAAAAGGTCGTGCTTATTATCGCGTACCTTCGTTTGCACGAAACGGCACGTTGTGTTCACGTCTCTCCCGAAGGATATTTCCTGTCCGTCCGTAAAAACGGAGAATTCCGGACGCGCGCGACAACTCCCTTTTTCAACGTGGACATAGAGATTTTTGCCGCTGGATAAAGGACAATGGCTGGTGGATAAAAAGAATTATAGAACGGCCGCTGGTACGGGCGTCGCTGAATCCGTCAGATTTGTCGATTCGGTCGACCAGACTATTACAAAATCGAAAATAACGAATGTGTTTGTTCGCAATGCGTCATTCTTTCGGCCTTTGCTTATTCTTCAGAAGAACCGTTGCAATAAACCGTTGGATAGACCGTTATTTAGGATATATAATTAAAAAAAAACATAACAAAAATTACAACAGAAAAATTAAAGAAAGAATAAGATGTATAAAATGATGTGATTAAGTTGACGATGTACTTATAAATTTCTTAATTTTAATGAATTTTTTTGTGCTACATGTAAAATTAAAAATGCCTTTGTGAGTAATTTCCCAAATGAAAATTCCGTTAGAATAAAAAACGGCTTGAAATTAAACTCTCTCTCGCAACTGCAGTTACGCCGCTGTTTTTCATTCGCATTTCTCCATCATGACGCGCGGCCGGCATTTTTACGTGTTTTCACTGCCGTGAATTCCGCGTGCGTGGAAACGCCCTGCACCGTGGCGCTTTTCAGCCGGATTGCAGCGTCAAAGCTGCGCCGAGATTTGCCAGCTCGTAGAACACAAGGCTACAAAGCCTTTGCAAATGACATGATCCGTGAGCTTTTTCGCGTCCCGCATCCGCGACATATACGAGCATCCGCGCGCTTACAGGGTCCGAAAATTACTATTCCGAAAAATCTCACATTTTCATTTGTATTCGCCTTCCGTTTTATTCTTTTATTAAATATTCTGATTTGTATTAAACAAATAATTACGGAATATTACATAATATAATATGCAATTGTTATTTATAAAAACAAGTTGATAATCTGCTTAATTAGTTTATACGATCTAATTAACGTACATGTACTCTTTCATAAAGACGTGGTAAACAAGCAACAACAAACTAAACAAGCAATAACACTTTATGGAAATCTTAAGATACAGAAAAAAATATTAATTAGAAGCCTTTTTTTCCTCGTTTTTAAATAGAATATTTTGCTTGGTTTGCATGATTGCAAATTAATGTCGGTGTTGACAGGACTTGAGGGTCAGCTACTGGTTGACAAATCGGTCGAGTTACTTATCATGCGGGTTGAATAGTAACTGGCCTTGCCGATTACTATCTTCGCTCTACTGTTTACTGGCTTTCCTCCATCATGCGGATAAGTTAGCTCTTTGTGAATGTACAAATCAGTGTGGCCAGTAACTGTCTGAATAATATGTAGAGCTGACAAGGGAAAGTTCCAAGTTGTAAAAGTGATATCAAAAAATTAACATTACTAGTCGAAAAACTACGTTTTAAAGGTATTCTGATTGGTCAAATCTTGGATGGATTCTTGATTTAGGCCAAAACATGTTTAGCCATTTTCACTTAGACACAAAATATTTCAAGAGCAATATTTCAAGAGCATTTTGAAAAAAATGTTTCAAATAAAAGTTGTACGGTTTAACGATGAGTTACTTATAATAAGATTGATTTTTTTCTTATTGGCTAAAGTGAACTCTGGACTCAAAGTCCAAGTAATTCATCATATGATCGCTCTTTTGAAACCTTACAACTTTTATTTAAAACACTTTTTTTTCAAAAACGCATTGTTTCTGCCCACGTTGGGCAAAATTCATAGGATCTCAAGATTATCCAGAACATCCATTTCAAGTGTGATTCTTGGACTGGTATAATGTTAGTTTTTTATTACTTTTGCAATTTGGAACGTTCTCTTATGAAGTAATTTTATCTTCATTTTTACTTTTAACACTAAAACAAATGCCCAGTTACAACGTCGCTGTTGGTTGCAATTGATAATTTATCGATTTTTGTTATAGAATATCTCACATCAATCTGGTTTTTGTCGTGAATGTCACGAATAAAATGTCCTTTGTTATACGTATGATTATTGGAGATTTCATTTTCGTCCGCGCGATCATGAAAGATAATAAACTGTTTACGAAATA